ATATATATATATATATATATATATATATATATATATATATATATATATATATATATATATATAAGCAAATAGCAGTCAACAACGGATACAACGAACAAACAATTAATAAAATGTTAAATCAAAAACTACACAAGAAAGCCCTGAAATTAGTATTTCCACCACCAGAGAAAAAACCCAGTACCTTCTGCTTGATTACATATACAGGCAAAATAACAACAAAAATAGCCAAACACATAAAAAAGAAAGGAATAACACCAGCTTTCCGAACAAATAATAACCTAGGCAAATATATTAAAAATAACAAGAGCCAAAATAAAAAACACTTAAATAGTGGTGTGTACAATTTTCAATGTGGCGACTGCCCAAAAACTTACATCGGTCAAACTGGTAGAAACTTTAATAAACGAACAGCAGAACATAAAAGGGCTTTCAAGAATAGAAAAACAGATTCGACATACGCACTTCACCTTCTAGGTCATAATCATTCTTTTAATGACAAATTTAAAATTCTTCACATTCAAAATAAGGGCCTTAAGCTATCTTTGTTAGAATCTATGAAAATCAACAAATTAAAAAACACAGATATAATTCTCAATGACCAACTTGAGACAAACAGTTCTCCCCTCCTGAACCTATTTCATTAGAGACTATAAATTTTAAACGCATGCCAAAAATAGATCACTTGAGAAAGGCAATCAGCCGAAACAACTGTAGTGACAATAGTTAAAATAAATTTTGTGGAAGTTTGAAAACAAAGTTTTCAGTGTTTTATTGTTACATAAAATTAATTTCCATCAAGTAACGGTCGAATCCATCAAAAACGTACATCTTTATTCCTGACTACCAGTATACTGACAGGCTAAGTAAACCAATAAAAATTTAAATATCTATATACTAATCCATGTGTCCGAGTTTTAATCCAATATTCTTGTTTTTTACCTAAAAACCTATATCCCTTTCTGAGAAACATCTGGTATAGGTTATTCTAGGTTAAGTATTATATTTGGTGGATGCGCCGCATAAAATATGAATACTTACTTATGTAAATAAAAAAAACAGAGGCATAATATTGGGTTATTTTTCAAGCTTTTAATGTCACTCTTCAGCAGAAAAAGAGACAAAATTTATTTTTAAATGATTAAATGGTAAAAAAAAATCTTAAATTGTCTTGTAAAAGCGTACTATAAGTAACAAACAGTGCTTCGAAAAGCGTTAAAGTTATTAAAAATATTTTTGTATAAAACAGCTTCTTCAGTAAGAATATATAATGTATTATAATTGCTTTTAATTTATTAGTATTTTTATTATCGTTGACTACAAAAATGTAAAGATAAAAAGATCCATAAAAATGTGTTGTGTCTTACTTAAATTCAATCCAGATTAAGATATCAAAGGGAGTGTAAAACAGGAGGTCGTAGGTGGTCTTCAGGTAGAAAAATATCTACTAATCGATTTCTAAAGTGTTTGATGGGTAATATTGATTACCTGAAAAACAGATGGTCAAACGATTGGTAGATTGACCGGAAGATTTAACTGATTATTGAGGAAACTCATATTGTTATATATCTAATATTTAGATTGTAATATATAGCAGTATTGAAACAAATAGCAGATAAATACATATAAAAAAGAAAAAAAATTAAAGTAAAATTAGGTAGTGAAAAAAATTATGTATTTTATATCATTCGTTATATGTGTAAAAAGGAATTCTTGCTTGGATACTTATCAATTATGATGTAACTAGTTATGTAGCAACGATTTCTCTATAAGATTAAAGGACTATTATAGCTGATTAGTATTCGTTATGATGTAAAGGGTACTTTCTAGTAACCCCTTTTTTAAAGGGGTATAGATATGTAAGTTGGTAACACTAATTTAACTGTTGACCATTTTGACAGCTGTGAAGTGATTTATGTTAAGTTTAATTTTAACGATAACGCTTCCAAATTGTACAAATTTATTTTTTAAATTGTGGTTATGTTCCAAATAAATATCGCTCACTGAAGTTGCTGCTGTAGAGCGTAGTATACAGAAAGACCCGAATCAGTCTACTTGCCTTCGCGTACAGCGTTTGAATGTCGAACTATCGGCTTTTGCGAAAAGATTTTGCTTTATGTGCTTAGAAAATCCAACTCATGCGAGAATTGAAGATACATCATCATCTATGCGTATAGATTTGGTAAGCGGTTCCAAAACGAGATTATCGTTGATTCCGATTTTCATAAGCGAATTTTGTTTAGCGATGAAGCTCACTTTTGGTTAAATGGCTACGTGAACAAACAAAACTGCCCTATTAATTATTTGGTGTGCTTTATGGTCTGATGGAATCATTTGACTGTATTTCTTCAAAAACAATGCTGGCCAGAACGTTACAGTCAATGGTAACTCCTCTAAAACCGTGATTACTGCCTTTTTCATGTCCCAATTAAACAACCATGATGTGCAGGAGCTGTCGTTTCAATAAGACGACGCAACATGCCACACAGCTCGTGTTACAATTTATTTATCCAAGAAAATGTTTGTTAATTGAATAGTTTTACGTTTTGGACCGTGAATTGAAGATCGTGCGATTTAAAACTGCTATAGACTATTTAATGGGGGAATATGTGAAGGTGGATACATTTGAAGCACAATATTCGCAGCATTATTGTCGTTATATGGCGACAAATATTGGAAAAACCCAACAGCCTGAAAGAAGCACTGGTTACAAAATTCAATGAAGTTCTGTCTTTTTTAAAATACTGTAAACTCTATAAAAAATTGTGATTTAATTTTTGTTACATTTACATACATGTACATAATACCATATTGTTGTAAGTCACGATTTTAAAATGTATCTTATTTTTTCTATTTGTATCATAAACCTACCGCTAATAACCCTAGTGGTTGATGCGGATAAATAATAAAAAAAGAATATTGGAAAAAGTGATCGAAAACTTGGACCTCCAGATTAGACTACGTCAGAGAAAGCCATGGCCGCCATATACCAAAAATCATATTTAAGCTATAATTCCAAAAGATTATCTTTAGAATAAAATTAATTTCATGTCAATTGATAAAAATCATCCTTGGTTTATTCCATTTAAGGTCCTATACCTCTAAATAAACACCCTTTATGAATTTACACATTTCATAAAAACTCCTAGAAGAACCAAAACTATAAGTTCTTAAATAGACAAAATAATCATAAATCTAAATGATCAGTTTAGTTACAGATGTATACAATCTTTGTTATTACTAGGAATTAAAAAAAAAATCATAAAAAATTTATTTCAAATCCTTTATAAAAGGTATATAATAAAATGCCTAAACGGGCTATCACAATTATATTACAGAACGTTTTCGGATTGTTAAATCCATCATCAGTGTAAACGAGATATACATGCTATGAGCCACCAAAATATATGGGTCAAAACCCTTTAAATGATATAAATTTACATTTGATTTACATTATGTGTGGTTACAAATTATGATGTTTAAGTTACCGTTGGAATTGGTAACATGGCGATGTATGACCCTACATAGGTAAAATGGTCCTGAGACGAAGTGTCTTCGAGAAACTGTTGATAACAACTGTTGTTCAACTTCAGTATTATGTGCCACAAGGTATTGTTTTAGGTCCTTTACTGTTTTCAGTATATATAGATAATCTAGCAGCAATGACAATACATGGAAAGATTATTTGTTTTGCTGACGATACTGTCATACTTTACACTAGCGATTCTTAGAATAAACTTAAAACTTTAGCAGAAACAAAAACTATAAACGTTCTAGAATGGCAAAATAGAAAATTACTTTCAATACACAGAAATAATTAATCCGACTTCGTAGAATTAAATCTGAGATATAATATCGCTTACATCAAAATAAATAGGAAAAAATACATAAAATATTTGGCCGTTTATATGGATTGTCACTTGAAGTGGGATGTACATTCTGGTATGGTATATCTAAGAATGTTATTATACAAATTTAGATATCTCCGCAATGTTCTTAATTTGTCTTAGGTAAATACAGTATAATATTTTTTGATAGAGTCACGTCTTAAATATGCCATTTTATTATGCCAGATATATTATGTAATCAAAATTTTTATTTATTAAAGTATTGAAAATATATAAAGTATAGTGAAAAAGTTATGTAAAATTTGTTTCATGTTGTTAATTGATGTGTATCACATCTAGTTTAATATATTAATCAATCTTCTCCAATACACAAGATGTGGTGTCGCAAGTAACATCGCTAGGAGGCGATGTAATTCTGTGCATCTGTCCGACTGTGCATCCAAGAATTACCCAATAATGTTTTAAAAAAACATCAATGCTTTTTTATGTTATATTATAATGAAATTACTATTTAAATGGGAATAAGCCACAATTAAAGGTTTAAGTTAGTTTACTGACGTTTCAATTTCTACTTCGGAAATCATTTTCCACAAGAATATATTATAATGACATGCACACTTTAATCATAGGAACACACATAGGAAACATAAACAAAATCATAAACAAATAGGAAGACACATACTGCTGATTATTAGGTTAAATTCTTCATTTCTAATACAAAAACCTAGACCTTCATGTATTGCTTTATATCCTTTCTTGTATTGGCTCACATGTACCAAAATTTACAATGAGAGGACAATGTCAAAGGTGATGTAAAGTGCTCTCAGGCAGTCGATCAAAGTTAAAGCGATTTTAAACTAAGTCTAAACAGGAAGAAAAATGTGAACACATAAACACTAAAAATTTAATTAACCATCTAAATAAATCACGTTCAGAATTGATTCAAGTTATACTAAAGTGCTTTAATTCTCTGCTATATAATACTTAAAAAAACAATGAAGTCTCTAAAATATTTCGCCTGCTTAATACGTAATGCAATAATTAAAAAATAATATAGCGGATGCATAAGAACTAACAATACCCAAGATTTTCATTAACATAGCTAATTTTAGCCATTATCAATCTTGTACATACTATCAACAGAAACCAATTTACCTTCCAGTCTTTGTGATAATCATCTCAGTGCCTAACTCGTTGAACTTGTCCCACAATTCTTTTGTCTCTAAATGACAGGTAATATTTCGTAACTCTTCACTGGTACACCTCTCTTGCAAAAGGGGATTTCTAGTCGGAGATCGTCGTTCACTAGACTGCGAAGCTGTAGTCACTCCCGATTCCGAAGTAGACGAAACGTCAACCGGCGAGTCGCGACCACTTTCATTGTCCGCACCCACCACTGTACAGTCTAAGCCCAAAGGTTCTGGCGTGGAAGGTACTGAGGGAGATGTGTCGGTGAATTTTTCTGAAACAAATTTGTTTTATTGTCAAATGTGGCATGTTTTAAAGTCAAATAAAGTTAGTGTAGCGATAAGTATTATAACCATATCACATTATAAAGATATCAGAGAATTTTAATTTAAAAATAATCAATTAGTCCTCATACATTATCCATATTAATCCTGATCTATATTAATATCCATTTCCTGTTTATCATCAGATTGTTAGGAAAAGTTTTTAATATAACCTAACTAACAAGTATATATTATTTCTACAGTAATATTGCAACACATTCTACACCAAAGATATGTAAGCTATTATACATTTTCTTATGCTCTTCAGGTTCATATATTGACAAACCTATGACAAGGGCTCTCCTGATTCAACTTCCGCAGGAAATCGATCAGCATTTTCGCTATTTGCAATCCTTTTTGGTCATAGGTTGGTATGTGTTTTGGCTCGATTTAGTTGAACGCCATTCCTTGCTGTCCTTCATTTTTTCTTTTCATCCAGTTATGTATATTCATCTTTGTAACGCCATATCGGTACTGAACCTTCCTTCTACACTTTGGTCTTCCACCAGGTCTCTTAAACGTTATTTTTAATATTATCATTTTCATATTCTTCCCATCTTCTTTGCACATGCTGTTCAATTTTTTTACATGCGAAAAATCATGTCATTTTTTCGCTGTATTACTAACTAACATTCTACCACAATTTTACAAGTATTTAAATTCTTTAACTCTTCCTAATCACATTTTAACCCTACTTTATTATAAATACAGACAGTTGTACGATAGCAAACAAGAAGACTCCCTCTTGCCTGTTACCTATCGCTTGGTACAGACGTACCTCTCTTGTCCGTTGCCTATCGAAAAGAACGGTCACACCCTCTTATCTTATCTATTGCTGAAGACAGACGCTCTCTCTTCTCTGTTGACTATTGTTAGTAACAGAGGTATCCTCTTTACTGTTGACTGCCGCTAACAAGAGACATTCTCTCTTTACGCGAAAAATACGGCAAATACAGTTTAAATTGTGTACAGATGCAAAATGTGCTTTATCTTCTGATCTCAGTGTTAGTACAGCGAGATACGTGTTCAAAAACCGGTAACCCGAACAACCTTTCCGTACGGAAAACAATCGCGAGTGAAAGCCTGTCAATACCGCGAGTGTGTGCGTGGAAGAGATATTGGTAAGATATGCCGGAGTTGCCATATTTTACCATTTGGTGTTTGCAATGCTCCAGCTACGTTTAAACTTCAGATGGAAATGATTTTAAGAGGACTTACCTAAAATTTTTGTTGAGTATATTTTAATGATATAATAATAATGTCCACAACCTTGATGAGCATCTGATAAACTTATTTAGCGAGATATTTGGCAGATTAAGAAATGAAAATTTAAAGCTAAATTATACGAAATGTTCACCATTTTAAACAGAGGTGTGCTATCTAGGACATTGTTCCAGTAGAAGGAATTAAAATTGATCCAAAGAAGATTTAAGTTTTTAAAGATTGTGTTAAGCCAGAAAAAAAAGGAACCTGTTTATATTACCAAAAATGTATTTATGACTTTGGTCGCATTGCTAAGCTCCTTATCGTCTATCCAAAAACAATATTTGACTGGACACAAGATTGTTAAAATGCTTTCGTAGCTTTAAAAAACAACTTCCAACAACATCTATCCTAGCCTATCCAGGATAAGATGAAAAGTTTCTGTTGGATTATGATGCATATCAGCATGGTATTATAGGAAGGCAAAAAAACGTTATAGCATATTTTAGAAAAACAATAGGAAAGACAAAGGAACGAAATATAATTATTAAAGCTCTAGAATATTTTCATACTTTCATTCATAATAGAAATTTTATAATTAGAGCTAACTATAGTGTTTTTCGGTAGCTAATGAATTTTAAAACCCCAAAACGACAAGTTGCTCGGTGAATAGAGAAACAATGGTTCCTTGGTTGGAACGAGAATGCCAATACTAGAACCCATTTGAAGAAAAAGAGAATGTAACCGAAGAAGTAAGTCTCCAGAAGACCATAGTTAAACATAAAGAAGATAAAGATCAGATTTTCCTAGAAAAAAAGTCAAAATAGAGATAATTGGTTAAAGTCATAGCAATATAAAAGACATACATTGATGGGTGACAAACCGGAAACAGTAGTGGAACGAACACTTTAGTAGAATGACAGAGAAAAGGATAGTACGAATAGCACTAGATAAGTCACCAAATAGACGAAGAAATAATGGCAGACCAAGAAAACCTCAATGTGAATCTTTGTTTTGTCATAGCGTGACCTTAGTCGTAAACAGATACGTACTCTCCTCTCATAACCTACCTAAGTTCTACCTCATAACCTCTACTATTTTCACTATTGGCATATTGACCTGAAAATACCCATATCGAGACAAAAGGAAATGTATATTTATATGTATAATGATATGAGAAATTTTCTACTGGCCAGTCTGACTCAAGCACTCATACAGGGTCTCCTATACCCTGGGAGCCCTTTGCTAGAACTTTGCTTCTGTTGTACAAACTTAGACTCTAGCTAAATGCTTTTTATCTTTAAAAATGTGTTTTTATTCATTACCAATGTAAGAATTAATTCTAATCCACCACAAATGGAATCTGGGGCATTCGAATAGAGGGCATTTCGAATTAGTTAGTCAAAATCCCTCTGTAAAGCGCCGTTTGAATCAATGAGTGGCTTTAGTATTCCAGGCCCTTTCTTTCCTTCTGGTAATAGTATCTTTCTAATGATCCATTATATGGGAATAAAAACTCTTGATGGAGTACTTACAGTTTAACAATTGCTACTGCCTCCTGCTCCTCCTAAGTTCCTTCTCTGTTGAGGTTGGCGATAAATATGGCAAATTTCTCTCTGTTCTAGGCTTAATAAATTTTTTCATTTCCTCTTGTGTGGGTCCAATCTCTGATGTTTCGTAGCCAAGATTTTTTCTTTCGTCCTATGCCCCTTTTACTTTCAATCTTGCCTTCTAATATCACCTGGAGCTACTCAAATTCCCTATGGCGCATTATGTGTCCCAATTATGACTTCTTTCTAATTTTAATAGTATTGGCCAGATCAGGTCGTGTTTTCATTACTCTCAGTGCTTCTTCATTCGTAGTTCTGCTGGTCCAGCTTATTCTTAACATTCAGCGGTACATCCATATTTCAAATGAATTTAATTAGTTGACGTCATACTGTTTTAACGTACAGGACTCACATCCATATTGTAATAGAGACCACACATAACACTTTAGTGTTCTCAATCTTCTTGAGACTGATAGCTTGGGGTTACAGAGCATTTTACGCATATTCATGAAACCAAATCTTGCTATTTTAATGCTTCTCCTTATTGCTTTTGAGTGGTCTAGTTGACTATTTAGCTCTCTACTTGTACTATATTTATGTCGAATGGTTGTCCATTTAGTTTGATAATCATTAATCTGTCGCTGACTGGTAGGAAACTTTTTGTGTGTTGGTGATGGTTTGCATGTCGGTAACAGCATCATAGATGCTGTTACCAACACTCCAACACCTGACTGGGCATCACCATCTTTGCCTGCATAATAGAAACGGTTTGCTACTGGCTAAATCACACATTTAAAATGTGTTGCAAGGTCATCATACCAGCCTTTCTGGAGAACTGGGATCAAAAAAACACTTGCCAGAGTTCGAAACCAACTTTAATAGATCAATTGTCACCGATGTGTACAAGATTAATCTAAAAAACGCGATTTATGTAACATTAGAAAAGTTTCTACAACAAAAAGTCGTGGTAGAATAGCATAATATCTTTCCGGAGAAATTTTTAACAGCTTATAGTGGATGTTGCCGGTCCACTTTTAATGACAATGTGTGGAAATTACGTAATGGTGGCAAGAAATTATTTTTGACAGTAGCAAAAACATCAAGACATGGAATTCCTATAGAGTTACATTCTGATCAGGGAGGAAATTTTGATTTAGAATTATGGCATGAAAATTGTAGGTATTAAGAAATCTCGCAACACGCCTCCATGGACAATCAGACGGAATTGTCGAAAGACATAATAGAACTGTTTGTCAATACCTTTTAATATTTGTCGCTAATAATCAAATACTTTTTCATCTCGTCTTGCTGGCCTATACAATATGAACAAGAAGAAGAAAATACATTTAGTTAGGAGTTTATTCTATACTCGTGGTTTATTTCCAACGATAAATTTAAAAAACAAACAGAACTGTCACGGACACCGTTTACAATAATATACAAACACTTATAACGTCAAAAAGTATAAAGGTCTTATTGATTTTATGTCAAAAATATAGACTAACAAGATTCAAATATAGTACGTATACAAATTGCTGTTAAAACAAAAGATGTAATATTTCAAACGCAAGTCACTATTCCAACATGGCAGTTATTCACCAATTGCATGCCTTATAAAATAATATCATTTTTATGAAATATAATTCAGGTAATTCTCATATCATTCCACTAATCTAGTGTAATAATTGGGCGGAAGCGAAGGGGTCTAATGTGGCCGAAAACAACAATGGCTACTAAGCAAGAATGATCGCCATGAGATTATTATCAGCTCACATCGGGAGGATCACGCATGTAATAATACTCTGTAAATTACCCAACCGGCTAATGTTCAAAAACCAACAATTAGGAATTGAATAGAAAAGCTTGCCGTTAAAATGTGTGTCGAAAACATTAGGGATATTATTATGGCTGTTTAAAAATTTGTTTCTACCTTACGTTGAAATTAGAAGAAATTACTCTATTTAGGCATCCAAACAGCTGCCTTCTAAAACACGGGAGCTAATATTTATATAAATAATTACCTACCGCAGTCCTACAATAGAAGATAATTAAATAAAACACATTTATAGGCAGGTACAGGTACAGGCATATATTTCTCCCAAAAAAATATTTAATGTAATAGTTTTTTATATAATAGTAATTTATTGGAATTTATATTTATATTTATATTTATATATTTATAAGGAAACTGAGCTTTC